CCCCTGGCAATCTCGCCCCAGTACCTGGCTGGCGTCCGCGACTAGTTCGATGACGAGCATTTTGGTCACGCCTGTGTTTGTGTTATTTTTTCTCAGTACTTACTCTTATTGTTTAACGTTGGCATCAATGGCGCAAACCGGCTGACCAATGAAGTGTATGAATGTGTGTTCCTCCCATTAATTCTGGCGCCGGTCTCCACACCTCTCCGTGATTGTATCTATCGCATGTGCCAGCCGGGGTAACACAGGAGGAAGGTCGGATTTTTTTTTCCTTTTCTTGTCCTCCTATTCCCTTCCTTGCGTACTTGCCTTAGGGTTTTTTTGTTGACATTTGTACAATATATTGTTGCCCACGTTAGCCCTTGGCATGTTCGAGCACAAGCTAGAGAGTCTCGTGCCTCCCGTCGCGAAGTTCCATGACTTTTCCTTCTTCACGCATCAACCTAGAACAGGGACCCGTTTGTTAGCCCCCTCACGTTCCCTCAACGGCCGCACTACTATATTTCGTGTTTTTTAGACACTATCATTGGTTGATAGGCTACCCCTTTCGCAGGTCAGTTGATAATCACCCACAGTGCCAGTGTCAGGAGGATCACGCCCAAGTCTTTGCTCATCTTCTCTCTGTGTGACAGTCTGTCTCACTCTCTGTCTCCCTCTCTCTCTCCTGCTTCTCTCTCTCCCTCTCTCTCTCTCTCTTTCTCTCTCTTCTCTCGAATGCGTCACAATCAATTGCCAGTAGGGTTGAGTTGCGTTGCGGGAGGCATGTTGGACAAGGGCACCTTGTTTCTGTTCGAGGTGGGGTTGAAGACCTTCATCAACTTAATTGTGAGAAGGGGATTGCGCACACGTTGCTGAAGCCGTTCGGTCATTGTTTTATTGAACTGTCTAGCTTTCCACTCGTTTGCCTATGGGTGCTTTGCCCATACATTGGCATGCGTGCATGGAGTTTTGTAGCCTCGCGTTTGGACACAAGTTTATTGCTCTTTTACCAGTGTCTATGACACCCCAAGTCCTGATGGCCGCTCACCCTGCTGTGTCGTCCAACCAAAGTCGGGCGATAGAAGCGGCTTCGGCCGCAAAACAAAAGCGGCTTCGGCCTCTAAGGGTGGCTGCAAAATCTCCTAGAACATTCCTTCCTCGTTGCATCTTCGCCATGGGCGATCACTGTTCGTGAGAAGGGGTCAGTCAGAAGACAACCCACACACACCGACGGCCACGCTGACTACTGTTTAAAGTGTCGGAGAGGTAGTTTCCTAATGATGTGGTGACACTAATAACGTTCGTATGCACCATCCCTCGTGTGTGTGTCTGTTGTCCAACAGATAATCCGAAGCCTGCGTTTCCTCGCATCGATGTTTCAAGGACCATTGTAACAACGCATGCATGGGCGAAGAAAGCCGGGGTGCAGGGGAGGCCCGGATCACAGAGCATGGACACATTGGCGCCGAATCAGGCGCTGAAAAAATAACGGGAGGGGGGTGGGCAACGCGGAATCAGGTTCTAGGGAACGGTTCTGCCGTGTGCGAGGTGCAACGAGGTCTGAGGGAGCAGGCAACGGCGCGGGGGGTGGAATCCCCGGCCGTCGCCGTGGCTCATCAGCATCTTCGGCTGCGATACGACGGGGAACGCTGTAACGGTCTGTTACCTCGCAATCAGACGCAAATGTACCAGTCAGTGACGGCAGCTGCAGCTGCTGCAGCAGCAACAGCAACAGCGACATCAACATAAGGAAATCATTCAACAAAGCATTGTGGAGTGTACGGGGTCCCAGATGGAAAATGCCAGGTTAGCACTCGTGTTGGTGGCAAAAGAGGAACTATATAATGTGGTAATGCAACAGAGTGATCGATCTCTCCGTATGATAGTAAATGGCGATGCGATTGCCCCACCCGGCCCTTGAGATAGCCCGTGACGATTTAGAAGCATTGCGTGTGCCTCACTGTACCCTGTTCGTTCATTTGGAATATTGTGGCACTAAACGTCTACAGCCTGTGTTGAGAATTGGACCTGGGATAAGTTCCGTCTGCCATGGAGTACAGGTTCAGCTCCTAGAATAGCGGGCTGACAAGAGTATGCGATCGATTCGGAACGGTCTGTTGTAATGCATACAAGCTTGGCCTACGAGGGCATCGGTTGATTCCCACGGCATTTTCTGGTGGGGGTTTGTCCCTAGAGCGCTGGCTGCTGAGGCTCAAGACAATTTCGTGGTAGGGTAGACTAGCATACCAGTGGAAGTGTGATGTGGTCTGAGTCTAACTTGCAGCTCGTAGATGTGATTCGCGTACACTACTCGGTTGGTATTGAGTGCTTGGCCTTTGTTGTGTGCACGCGCGTGATGAAAGCACTCTCACGTATGTCACGTGCCTTCACGCTTGCCATGTCTTGGATGAGGCAGATTCGATTCAAGATATTTTTCGGGGCTGAGATACGAAGTATTGGTTTTTGTTCATGTTGGGAATTCTCTGATGCGCCACGATTGTTGCGCTTGGGTATTTCCGCGTCTTTCTTGGAACACCTGCTGTGGAGGCCATTATTTTTTGTCGTGTACTCCATGGGATCACGAAGACCGGATGGACAGCGTGGCGGCAAGATCAAGGTCCTTCTGTAGTCGTCGACATAGACCAGGTCAGGTGATCATAGTGTAGCGTGAGGTTGGTTTGTGGTCGTCATTGTGGTGTGCAGGCATCCGAGTTAAAGTGCATGTATGTGGGAGTGAGAGTTATATCGTGATCGTGTGGGCTCGGGGTTTTGAATCCACCGGCGATGTGTTTGTTTCTGTGTTGTGTGTGTGCATGTGTGGTGTCCGTTTTGTGTTGTGAGCAGGTGGGTGGTAGAACAAACAATGCTGTTCATGTCGAAATGAATGTTTGTCGCCAACTCGATGTCCCCGTTGGATGCAATTGGTCGTCCTTTTTTCTCCGGCACATCCCTTCTAGTTGTTCCCACCTTCTCATTGGGATTGGCCGGGAGAGGTAGGGGGTGGGTTGTAGGGGTAAGGGGGGTAAGGGCGTGGGGGAGATGGGGAGGAGTGTAAGAAGGTAACGGGAGTAAGGGAGGTACGGGGGAAGGGGAAAAACGGGGTAAGGAGGGTGAGGGGGGTACCAGGGTTATGGGGGGTAAGGAGGGTAAGGGAAACATTAGTGATGTTGAAGCCCGATGTAGGGTAACACTACCTCAGCCCTATATATATAGCTGCAGATGGCGCTTCAACATCCTTTGGAAACCACACGCGAACATACGAAGAGCTCCCACCTTTAAACTGCTGCGGGTACGTGGAGACAATGCTTAGGGCAGAGCATACCACGTCTTGCATGATGAGTATGGTTCCTTCTATTTTTTAGCGGGATGCCGTCCCTTCTCACAGCCAGCGGCGAGTGGGGTTGGCTTGACCGTCGAAAGAAAGCGCCGACGATGCGCACCCTCGGGCTTGGTGGAGATGCGACGGTGGTATTTTGTTCCTGCGGGACAATACCGTTCTGTATGATTCTGGTTGAGCTGAAGTGTCATCTCTTGGTGGTACAGCAGTTGTTAATGTTCGAAAATCGCGGCGGGGGATTTGTAGGTTATGCCACGATTTCTCTCGCTGCAGTTTTTCTTCTTGTTTCCAGGATGGTGTATTATTGGTGGGTTGAATTTCGTGTCTGGAGACTTGTAGCGGGTTGCATTGTGCTATATTTTAATCTACTTGCATTTTGTGTGCGTTGATTCACTTGATGTACCTATTGTGCGCCGTTTCCTGCGATTAAGACGGAGCATTGATTGGATTGGATTAATGTTTTGGGAGATGTTGCAGCAGGGGGCTGTTTAAGATCTTGTGTTCGGGGAGATGATGCAGCAGGAGGGCTATTGAAAATTTCTTCCATGTTGTCTCGATGTTGGAGAAACGGCATAGTCGAGGAACGGCATTTTGCAGGCGCCGGGGTTTGGACTTTGTTTTATTGCCGTACGTGGTACGGTAATATTTCCGAGCGATGTATAGGAGGAAGGATTTGGCATATTTTGATTAAGGTATGGTTGAGGCCTATGTGCTTCCGAAGCTTTTTTGACAATGGTCAGTAAGTTGAAGGATGGTTCTATGCGACGATTTTGTTCGAAGCAATAATTGACGCGTTTTCCCGGAGGCATCCGTCTCGAGTCTTTATGACGCGGCGACTCCGATGTAATTATTGATCTCTGCTGAACATTTTCCTAGGATAATTATTTGTATTTGACTGCCTGAGAATCGGTTGCGACGACATTTTCTCGAAAGGGGTGATTGTTAAGACTCTAGTTAAATTCCATCGTGGATTAAGGAGGAATCCTAATATGAAACTTGAGTATACAGTAGTATAGATCCGGGAGTTGAAATGATCTGTGAATATGAACGATGGAAGGTTTTCAGGGTTTGTTGCCGTTTCACCTGGCGATACGTACGGAGGATTTCTTCGTAGACCGTGTCTCGTACCGAGTAGGGGGGGTGTTGTGTGTACTCGACAGAGTACGCATCCCCGAGATCTTCGGGGGGTACGCAGATGTGATATAATAAAGTAACTTGAGCCACCCCTTGGTGCAGGAACGCTGTCGACACGATACCCGAGAGCGTGATGACAAAGTACAAGCTTCGACACCCCAAACACATTCCGCTCTCTACTGTACGTAGTGGGCACTGGCCCACTCCTGACGTGTGCTGTTTTCGCTGCCGTCACCCACTGGACTGCTTTATCCGCACCGTTGTCATATCTGACAAACAGGGCTGCTCTCCCAAGCGCGAAGCCCCCAGCGTGACCAGGCCTCCTAAACTTGATGAATGCCTTCGGAGTGTTTTGCCACCTCTCTGTGGGGTTCCCCAACCTCGACCGACTGTGGACTGTAGTTTTCGTATGAGACTACTTACTGAGCACCTGTTCTCATGGTCAAGTTCTCGAGTCTCGATCTGTTTTTAACCGGATTTAGTTTTTCCCAGATTCTTAGAGTGGTGTCGTGTTCTGTATGGATCGCTGATCATAAGAGAGAACGACGGAAATCGCATGCTGGAAGGCACGTCGCTACCGCTGCTAATCGTTGCGGCTTGCCGGCCGCCCGCGCACAAGAATCACTAGTCAATTCTTGCAATGTCTCATCGATTGAGCACAGGCTATCGCTAAGTTGTACCATGACCTGTAGCTGTAGATTGTGGTGACTGCTCTGAGCCCGGTCCATTGTGCCGTTCACTGCTGTAGGAGCCTGTTCTCATCTGTAGTCTAGGCCGATACTGAAAAAACATTCTGAGCCTCGAATTTTTTTGTGTCTGTGTTAGCGCGCCGGCAGTTGAATCGAATGAACATCGTCATTGTTGTACGCCTCATGAAGTGCTCTCCTGTGGTACCGTCGTTTACCTCGTGCAACACAGGACGTATGTGGAGTCTTCACCGGTGGTACAGCCACTGTTAGATGTACTCACAGCATCGACAGATCATTGCAAGCAAGATATTTCCGAGCAGATGGAGCGGGGAGTTTGGGGGTTCAGCTGTTGCTTTGGATTAGATTTTGGTGGTACCAACTTTGCCGCATATTACAGGATTGAGGGTGGGGGTATGTGTGCGTCTACAACGGATATGGTGTTTGTGTGTTGTGGCTCCTCACTTGTTTTTTTTCCCTCTTTTTCCTCCTTCCTGTGTGCAATCAAGTCCTTTTTCCCCGGCTATCACGCTACCACGGCTATCACCCCACCGCTTCCACGCCAATCCTGGCTATCACGCCATCCGGCTACCACGCCTTCCGGACATCCACGTCCTTACTTATACCTTTACACCACGACTATCACGCCACCAGGCTTCAACACCACATCCAGAGATACCATACCCGAGCTATCACGCTCCATCCCAAAGTAGAAGGCTGTCACGCCCATCATAGTTCCTGCACTGTACCGTTGGCGGCTACCGCGCCGCTGGCTCTTTTGTTTCCCAACCAAGGGACCCCGCGCGCCAAGGCACCGATGCACGAAGCTACTCAACACGCTAGCGTAACGATCAAGAGAGTGGCCGCCGTGTCTAAGCGCGCAACATGCNCGCTTCCACGCCAATCCTGGCTATCACGCCATCCGGCTACCACGCCTTCCGGACATCCACGTCCTTACTTATACCTTTACACCACGACTATCACGCCACCAGGCTTCAACACCACATCCAGAGATACCATACCCGAGCTATCACGCTCCATCCCAAAGTAGAAGGCTGTCACGCCCATCATAGTTCCTGCACTGTACCGTTGGCGGCTACCGCGCCGCTGGCTCTTTTGTTTCCCAACCAAGGGACCCCGCGCGCCAAGGCACCGATGCACGAAGCTACTCAACACGCTAGCGTAACGATCAAGAGAGTGGCCGCCGTGTCTAAGCGCGCAACATGCCGGACGCAGACGGACGACAACCTCCGGGGGGATCAGGTCAGGCTGTCCCTCCCCCCGGGGAAGGCGTCGCGGTCGGAGGAGGGAGCGATTCTTTCTTCGTCAGCGATGCACGAGGCCGAGGGGGTGCGCGAGCGGCAGGAGGGGAAGATCAGCGCTACACGATGCGTGAGCTGGTTGACCTCTTCAAGCAGGCCTTCGCGACATCANTGCACGAAGCTACTCAACACGCTAGCGTAACGATCAAGAGAGTGGCCGCCGTGTCTAAGCGCGCAACATGCCGGACGCAGACGGACGACAACCTCCGGGGGGATCAGGTCAGGCTGTCCCTCCCCCCGGGGAAGGCGTCGCGGTCGGAGGAGGGAGCGATTCTTTCTTCGTCAGCGATGCACGAGGCCGAGGGGGTGCGCGAGCGGCAGGAGGGGAAGATCAGCGCTACACGATGCGTGAGCTGGTTGACCTCTTCAAGCAGGCCTTCGCGACATCAACTCATGACCAGGGGCACCGTGCCCACTCAGGCACGTCTAGCAACCAGATGTTAGAGCTGAGGCAGAGAGAGAAGACAGATGTCCCAGCATGGAGTGATGAGTATCTGAAAAACAGATCGATCGAAGTTGCATTGCGAGTGTTCACGAGGGCTTGTGAAGCGTGGCTGGAGAGTGAGGGACTGTTTGTGCAGCTGGTGTGGGTTTGAACTGGTTGAGCAGCACGTTCGGAGAGGAGAGAGTGAAGCAATCCAGGAAGATTTGGACGTTCATGCTGGCTAAGATCACAGCACAACCCGTACAAGCCCAAATCTTGGCATCAGAGTTACCTCAAGTAAGGTATCGTGTGTTTCTCGAGCAATACAGCCAGGACAAGAGTCAGGAGCGACAAACCCTAGACGACGCATGGAACGTAGTAGGTCAGAGGCAAGGAGAGAGACTTATGGACAAACTACGGTAGGGCAGTTGCGCTGTGGATGAGACTTCGATCGTATGGTGATAGCAGGGATGAAAAGTCGATGTGCAGGCACATAGTCCGGGGATTCTCCCAAGGTTTGAGAAAACTGAAGACCGTCTCCTGTTTGATTCGATGTTGTCGAGGGCTACAATGCCGGAGATGCTGAGGTTGAAAGAGCACGAGCTGAGGTACGAGCGGAGAGCTGGAGAGGGGAAGAAAGAGATGAGGCACGCCCTCGTCGCTGACGGCGTGGGCCGGGGCGGCGGGGCGGGGAAACCAGCCGCTGCAGGATCGGAGCAAGGCGGACATCGACTCCAGCAACCACAAAGGTCGGTGCAGCCACATCAGCAGCAGTCATCGCACTTCTGCCAGCTCCACGGCTCCAACAGCACCCACGAGACCTCCGATGTCACAAGTTACGCCACGAAATCCTCGCCCACTACAACGACTTCTGCGNAAAGAGATGAGGCACGCCCTCGTCGCTGACGGCGTGGGCCGGGGCGGCGGGGCGGGGAAACCAGCCGCTGCAGGATCGGAGCAAGGCGGACATCGACTCCAGCAACCACAAAGGTCGGTGCAGCCACATCAGCAGCAGTCATCGCACTTCTGCCAGCTCCACGGCTCCAACAGCACCCACGAGACCTCCGATGTCACAAGTTACGCCACGAAATCCTCGCCCACTACAACGACTTCTGCGCGTACATGGGCGGGAGACGGGAGGCCCAGGGGTCTGTCTTCCCTCGAGGCGGAGCTCAAGACTCGGGGCAGATGGTTGGTGGCCCATATTGACAGCAGCCGTACCAAAACGAACAAGGTGCGGGCTGGAGTCGGGGCCACTCTCCAGCGCTGCCGGGACCGCCGCGTGGGCAAGGATACGGAACTGGAGGACAGCTGCAGGGGCGCAACTCTGGGGGGCGTGGGTATGGTAGATACGGTCCTTCCCCCTCGGAGAGCCGAGGTCGTCAGGTGGGCGGCCGTGGTGGTAATCATCCGCCGCCCAACGTTCCTCCCGGGCAGATTGCTAACGTACCGCGGCCCTATTTTCCGGCTCATTTCGCCATTGGAGGTGGAGAACCATCAGGCGGCGACATCACCTCGGGATGGGAGGCCACGTC